TTTGTGGGGGGGGGGTGGGGAGGAAAGAGTTTGTTTGGGTTTTTCTCGGTTGTTTTTTTTGTTTGTTTGGTTTTTTTTTTAAAACCAATGAGCAGCCTCCTGTCATCAGGCTTTTTAAATTGCAGGAAAAATAAACAGAATTTTATGTTACACAAATGCCAACATACCATGTAAGTAGATTTTAATTTTGTTAACCACAGTCTATGATTACGCTTCAGTAAAGCACTATCTTTTTATGCTACATGAGGAATTATGTGCTCTGGATCTACTCAGTTTTTCATAGAAGTCAGATTACATGCACTTGAAGGACCTCAGTTTGAAACTTCATAAGCAGCCTTTGCTTACCCTTTCCAGCAATATTTCTTGCAGGGATAGTCACTTTGGACATAAAATATATACTGATCTCCTGACACTGTCCAGTGAAACCTGCAAAGCAATAAATGCCTAACAGAGACTGCATCATTTCCTGTAGGACTGCAAAAAAGTAGATCTACATGAGGCTTCCAAATAAAGGCAAAATGGTGTATCTTAGAAGGGGGAACAAGAACAACCATTTCAAGGAGTGATCAACATTGGAAGTGACTGTTAAAATGAGGGGGCTGTTTGAAAAGGTCTTGAGAATCAAGTTACCTCTATTGTTTTATAACCAAAATGAGGTAGAGTAGGTCAGGTCTAGCATGAAAGCATGTCAGTACCCACCCTTCAGGATTTACTTCTTTAGTCTCCAGCTTGAGGCTTTACCTCACACATAATTTGCACTCAGAACAAACAGCATTACAAGATTCTCTACAAATACTGCACCACAAAAAGGAGGAATGAAGGCGTTCTAATGCAACAAGTTGTCCCAGTATAAACATACCCACTAAATATACTGACCAACATAAACATGTGGTAGCTACATTTGTGAAAGTTATACCGTTAGGCTATTTATATGGCAGCTTCTTCTGCACCAATGAAACAGCCTCCTCAAATTTAGTGGTGTTCAGCCAGAAGAGTGTTATTGCAAAAGCTTTACAATATTAGCATCCTAAATAACTATTTTCAAATATTTCATATTTGGCCCATTGTTACAAATTAACATGAGTATCAGAAAAACATACAAAAGCAAATGTCACCCAGTTCAAAAAAGACGCTTCATGTGGAGATAAACTTATCCACTACGTGAAAGGCTAACAGTTTACATTATAAATTTATGCAAAGTAATACTTCAGTTTAAAAAACCAAAACAACCAACAACATTTTAAATTGTATGTGCTAGGAGAAAAGTCAGACAAGCAGGACATTATTTCACCAGTACTTAAAATCACTGCTGAAAGATGCCAAGTATTTATTAGAAGTCCAGAAAGCTGAAGAGATCATTAGAATTTACACCACAATTTACTTTAACTGGTTTAGTTGAACGATCAAGTGAACTAAAACCATAAAGTTCTACTGTTTTTAATCCAATAACATAGTAACTTAACTTTACAATAAACTACTCTACATCCCTTAGTGCCTAGGCTGAAAATCATGATTTAATACCTGATGGGCTCTGTGCAGCAGAAGGAGTGGATGTTGAGCTTGCAGTCACTGAATCACAGCGCCCTGTACTCCCACTGCCACTGGAAGGTGATGGTGATGAGAGTGGTGAGGGATTGTGCTGATTTATACACTGCGCTACAGCAAAGCCTGCAAAACAGGACAATGAAGTTTAGCTTGAAAGAGTTAACCTACATGAACAAATTGAGAAAGGGTAAGAGCAAATATTGCATCAAAGTGCTGCTAATTTCGTGTAGTGACCCAGAGGATGCACCCTCTCCCGCCTTCACCTTGGAAGCCTGAAAATCTGAATGCATCTTAGTGAAAACATGCTACAAATGCTGATCAACGAACAAGAAAGTGGAGGTTAAGGGATTCAAAACGTTTTAAAACTTAGAGCTTGCACAAACAGTCAAAACATGTCAAAACTCTTCAGTTTTTGATATATTCAATAAATTCATGGGTCACAGATCTTAATGTGATAAGGAAAATGGTTCAGTCAAAAGTGAACAAAACCACTCTCAGATAGAAGGCCTGCACTACATTTTTTTTATTGCAGAGATAACTTCAGAAAATTTTAATCAATCAAATCTAATGCTGGCACTGGATTTGATTCACCTTCTCACAAGTCAAACTTTTTCCAGCCTGAAGACTAGAAAGGTCTATACAGTGTCTGACAGCACTTTTAAAATAAGTCTTCTTCAGGCTTTCAGTCTAATATTTCCTCAAATTCTTTACATTGTAGCATCCTCTTATTTCCTAACATAACCTTGCATTTGTTCCTTTCTCCTTCCTCTGCAACCCCCTGCTTCAGTCTTTGACATGCCTTAAAAAAAAAAATCTTCACTTTAGTTCCTTCCCTCCTCACATACAATGACTTATGCACTTTCTCTTTTAAGATGCAATTTCAGAAAGTTTTGAGGACCTGTGGCACAGGGAAATCCATTGGAAGTATGCAATTTGGGAAAGAAGCGCAAGGAAGGAATTCAAATCCCTGGTTTCTCGAACCCAGCATCTCAGAACTGAATAACCTGAGAATGACGTACTTTGCAATATTTAATTTAATTGATTTAGTCAAGATGAGAAGCCATGAGTACCCAGAATTATGCATTCGTTGCATAAGACTACACTGAATCAGAAAGTAAGCAATAGTTATTCCATATATGTTGTGCAAAATATTTTGTGCAGAAGCATGCTATGAGCCAAAAGACAACTGAAATTTATTCTTTAGGTTACTGGTGAATGTGTTACATTGCCATTCAGTCATATCCTACTAAAATAAGTGCCTACAAAGGTGTCTCCAGTAAGTCCAGCAGCACTGCAAACACATGCTGAACATTTAGTAGAAGTAAACAATTAGTAATTTTTTCTTTTACAGGTGAGAATGATTATATGGTAACTTTGTACAAAACAGATACTACATTAAAAACTTATTTGACATAACTAGCTTGTGTTTATGAACACCCTTATTTTTATATTGCAATGTGTCTGGTTGACACAATTCACTTGTGACAGTCACAGATTAGAAATGCCAAGGCATACACTTGACTGTTATTTCACCTCAACATAAAGAGAAATACAAGAGTATCTTTGGAAGAGTTAGAACACTTTACAACATCAGTCTTGTAAGAATGTAGTTTGTATTTGAGAAGAGAAGCTGGAATATGGAGCAAAAGAAACAAAACAAAAAAAACCCCACTGGGTGTTTCAAAAGCATGTTATTTTAACAATTTTTTTTTCTTTTTCTTAAGTAGTCATGTTCTATTATATCTGACAAATACATTTTTGTTTGTTGTTTAAAACATCTTGTGTTTTCCAGCGATTGTTAAGACTTTCTTAAAGCTTATATTTTCATTTAACAACAAAATGAGTTTATCATTGCTGAGACAAAAGCAAGTAAGCATGCTCTGGCTTTCAGCAGATTTCGGATCAAGAAAGTCAGAGCACTTAACTCTTGCGTCAATCCTCTGCCAGATTATCAGAAAAAAGTTTTTCAATGACACTATAAAACGTCCAGGCTTGACAAAAAGTTTGCTTTTGCACAAAACCCATAGTGTGAAAATACTCCAGTTCTGAAAAACTTCAGAAATTATTTTCACACACTCTGTTGATCCCCATATGTTGAAGACCCCCCACTTTGGGATGACCTGCTAACTCACTTGTGATTAGACTGTTTGAACAAGTCAGGATATCTCCCAATATATAATGCTTTTTATAATTTCTGTTCCCCAGACTCAGGACTCGAACAAGTTGAGCTCCAATTTAGTCGTAAGGCAGTAGAACATCTGCTTTCTAAGTAGGGCATTTGAATTTTGAATCACTGAAACACATTTAGAGAAATCTTGAGTTTTGTGAAATGATTGGCAGCTAGTGATAACAAAATTGCATCTTTTTGTATAATACAGCAAAATTAAGTACTTTCAAGCAGTATGAGATTCAACTTTAAAATGACTCAATCCAAAAGGAAAAAAAAGTTCTGGAAAAAAAACTCTACAGAAAAGTCAATTTGTGAAATAGACGATAAGGAGACAAAAAAAAGCAAAGAGCTCAATTTAGAATTATTCCTTTAATCCCAGTTCCAAGCTAATGTTTTAGCAGTAGCTGTGGCCCTTTTCTGTCTTGCTAGCTCTAAGGTAAATGAAGCAGTGCACAGTATCCCAGCTATTCTTACAAACTGGCAAGAAAATGATCATAACCAAATTGAAGGAGGAACTATGCACAACTCACAGATGTGTTGCATAAATACTGAGTATGTGAAACATGATTTAAACTAAATTTGTAAAGGAAGGCAAAGTATTAAGACACTTCCAGTGAATTTGGAGAAATTGCTATGGATGTATCGCTCACAATGTACCTGGAATACACACCCAGGTATTACTTGTTTCTCTAGGAGTAAATTTTTCCATAAGCCTCGTCCTGGAGTTGTGTTCAGAAACATATCACAATAAGCTTTTCATTGCTTATACTTAGAGTATACTTATACTTAGAGTTCAGCTTTTGCAGACACAAATCACAAAGCAAAAATTGCTCAATAATGAATGCTAATCTTACCTGGAACTTTGTCAACAGATGCAAAAACAGAGCGTTGCACTGTAGGATCACTGCTACCACGCCGTGATTGATCATAAAATCTAAATGGAAGGTGTTGGGCTGTAGCTGCAGAGCCATGTCCAAAACCCATAACTTCAGTTGAAGACTGAACAGGAAGATCCAGGAGAGCTATGTTTAATCACAATTGATAATTTATGTTACTCAAAAATACATAGAAGGAAGAGTAGGTGAAAGTAAAATGGATAGTTTGCTCAGGATCTTAAGACTAAACCAGATTGTTTAACGTAACTTGCCTGCATTTACCTCAATTATGGTTACAATTGCACTGGAAAAAAAAGAGAGACAACATTTCTGGCAACCTTTTCTACCATTGCTATCCACACCACATCCACACTAAGGAAGCCTCAGAATACAGTGGAGGAGAAAAAAAAGCATTACAGTAAGCTCCTTGCATTAAACAAACCATAGGAGCTATTTAAAAAAAAAAAATCTTCTGTTTTTCCCTGTACAAATAAAGTCATTCATTAGTTACAGCTGAACATCGCAGAAAGCCATTTAAAGAGACAATCTGCTTTAAACTGGCAAAAATGCCTTTGCGTTACCATTCAACCTAAAATTTTAATATCGAAATAGACCTGTATTAACCTCAAAGTTGCTTTAATTTTTTTTTAACATGCAGCAAGCCATAAAAGTATGACATATCTATTTTATAAACTCAAAGCATAAAACTTTTTAGTTAGCTTCCTACAGAACCATAAGACACTAAATCTTAAGCCATTTATAATCAGAATAATTCTCTGTGCAACTCAATAATTTTAATACCAGCTATGACTTTGCTTTTCACAACTCCGATTAGTTCATTATTGCTCTTGGACAATCCAAGTAACTGTGATAGCTGGTGTCCTTTTCAATTTGCCCACCTATTTTCCTTCCTGTACTTCAGAATTTCCTCTTCTATACTCATCAATTCATTCAGTTTACTGGTAAGCTTCAACTTATGCTTCACTCACTTAATATTCAAGTAATATTTTAATCACTCTTTGCTATTTACTCAGATTAACTTTCTTTCATCTCTTCGCATGCATTTCCTCCAAACACAGAAATCTAGCTGCTGATACTCCACTTAACATTTTGGATTGCTCATCATCACTACATCCAAGCATTAAGCATTATCATCAACACCATCAGGACACCATCCAACTTGGGACTCAGGCAAGCTGAGCTCCAATTTAGTCCTAAGGCAGTAGAACATCTGCTTTCTAAATAGGGCACTGAATTTTGAATCACTGAACCACATTTAAAGAGAAATGCTGAGTTTTGTGAAATGATTGGCAGCTAGTGGTAACAAGACAGGATTCCTTCTTTTTTATCCTTTCTTTGATGTGTCTATCATTAAATATGAAAACACATATTTTACTCCAATAAAATCTATTGCTTGGAAACTAGACACTGGTTTACAGTTTTCTGTGGCACACCACTTCTTAGATTTTTCTAACATATCCTTATGTTACAAAGTGACTTGCTATGACATACAAGTCTTCTTTCTCAGAATCATGTCAAAATAACCGTTCACCTGCTATTCTCTGCATTTTCATACGCCGAGCTTGGATACGGCCTTTTGCAAGACGTTGTTTTGCAATAATGCAGCGAATGTGATCAGAAAAAATAAATGTAGCTTGAAGGATAGGGAAGGGCTTAGAATGAGGACTTGAGGCAGGCTTATGAATTATTATGTTCAGAGCTCTACTGTCATCCTCCACTCCCGTCACCTGCATATCCTAAAAATAAACAGAAGGCAAGTAGCTAATGAAAATGTTAGCATTTTTAAACTATAGATTAAATATCAACATTGAAAGAAAACCCTAAGAAAGCTTCACTAAAGCTCCTAAAAAACCAGTTTGTGTTAAAAAAAAGGACTATGCAAGTTGTACAACCTTGGATTTAGTTCTTCAGAAATTGGTACTCGTAGAGATTAAGTCAGTTTAAAATTTAATTAAGTTATTTGAGCAGAGTGAATTTTCCGGAAATACAGTGTTGGCTAAGGCAAGAAAGAGACACAAGTGAGAGACACTTCTTAAAGCTTTTGAAATCAATTAGATAAGCACAGATTACTCTGAAGTTACAACCTGTCACCTTCCCTACCTGTGTAAGAAGATCAGAACTCTAGGAGAGTTCATTACTGTGCCACTTAAGGAAAGTGCTTGGGACTCAAATCCTAATTGTATACGATTTCAGTGTTCAAATGAACACAGCCCAAAACATATATTGGGGAAGTTACCTCATTTTTAAGTGTGCTTCTAGTTAGCTATGTAAACTTCTTCAGAAAACCAGAAATAGTTTAAAAGACAGGAACAAGAAAAAAGACTAGTAACAGAAGAAACAAGTAAGCACGGTACAGAGCTTCAATATATAAGCTAATATTGGTATTACTATTTATCCAACATAAACGTAGATTTTCAGCTGAGAAAAAGTAACCACCCAGATTAAAACTTCTCTTACCTGCAGAAGTCCTGCAAACTTAACTACTCCCCAGCCAAGTCTGGCAACATCTGGCTCAACCAAACTCATCTGGTAAATATCCACAGCCAGAAATCTTTGAACTTGACCCCCATCCTTTGTTATGACTGTACATGCAATTAGATCACTGTTATCTGAAGGAAGGAAGGAAGGAAGGAAAAAAGTTAGTTAGCTACTGAAGTTAAGGATTCTGGGTTTTGGTTGTTTTATGTAGCATAAAATGTTAATATATAAAAGTGTAATCATCTTTACAACACATGTATAAAGTTATTCAAGGGTTTGGTTTTTTTAATATGTATTTTGCATTTCCCTATCATATTTATAGTTACACAGAAAGGGCAGGATATATTTTAACAACAGTGGTTCAGCTATCTTACAAGTTATGTATAAGATGTGTATTATGATGCACCTTGCTTTCTCTTACCACCTTCATTACTTTTCAGTATAAAAGGTCACTTCATTTCAGGAGCGAAACTGCAACAGTGTTGATTTCTCTAAGCAGAAGCCTCAGAAAATCTTGTCAAAAGACCACAGATACAGTCCTACACCACTGCAGGCAATTACATCTACCTCATTATAAACGTAGGCTCCATTCTGACACAAGTTACATTTCTACAGGTCTGAAACCCGACTATTCTGAATGTTGGCAGCCTTTCAAATTCAAGACTATATGGACTCTCCAGGTAAACTGTAGCAGGTTTTTGCCAACATTTGTTAAATGCGGTGACATTTTTTCCTTTACCCACCCATTTTATTCATTTATATTGAATAAACATATCCTCTCTTAATCATTACTCTAGGACCCCTCAAACAAGCCCCAAATTATAGATCTCAAGAAGTAAATACACCATTCCCTGATCCTCCTGCATCTCCTCACTGCACCTGTTCCAGTTCAAACCCATCATTCTTGAAGAGTGACTAAACCATCTCCTTTACATCAGCTGAAGCCTACTGAGTGCCCCATAAACTGGCACTGCTGCCTCCTAGCAGACCTTTGCTAATCTTAACTAGAATTGCTTTTTCCTTTGCTTCAAATTGATACTTTCATTCACATACTTAACACACACAGGTCTTTTTCCTCTCTCTCATCTAGTGCAATTTATAGCAAGTAAAAGATTCTATGACCACACATGCTGTCCTACCAAGTTCATAATCTTTGCAATTCTAGATGGTACTCCACATAATTTGATGGATTTAACCAGCTAAGTTGCAGCATTTTAATTATTTCCTGCAATAGTTTTGATTAAGTTTTGGTTTTGGGGTTTTTTTAGGATAGAAACCATCTGACTTGAAAACAACAAATTTTATATTTTGCTTCTACCCGAGCCATAGTTTTTCAACACACTCATTCTCCTCAGCACTCGCATTCTTTTGTATTGCTAAGGCATTGATAGAGTCAGCAGTTTGGAGTTATTTGTTCAAATAGCCTTTCCTAAAATGAGGGTTCAATGCTATAGGCAACAATTGCTGTTAAGATGTACGAGGCTTTTTTTCCCTCCTATTCCATATTCACATACTATTTTTTAGATGTGTCTATATACTGAAATCAGTTTGATAAATGGTATCATTTACAGTAAGGTAAGTACCTTTCAAAAAGGCTGCCTTCTTATTCAGATTTTTTTATATCTATCTGAAGGGAGCTATTCTGACACACAGAATTCAATACATCTCTAATACTTATCGCAATATCTACACACTGAACACTGATGTTAGGTGCTCTTGCATTTGAAAACCCAGCTGTAGCATTTCTCACATTATTTACACAATGCATTAAAAATAATCCAGCAAAAGTTCAACTCTGTGTTCAGTATCTGAATTAAAACAATGTATAAATATTTGACTGTTTCTCCTCTTTAGTTTCTCATGGAAAAAAACCAACCCTAAAAATAAAACTAGAAGAATTAGCTAAATAGATAGGAATGAGGCTGCAGGTTATACAAAACAGTAAAACTTAAATTTACTTATCCAAACATCTAAACAAGTAGTTAACACCATATTTCATACTAGAAACATCTGTGGGATAGATATAATCTACAAGTGGAAGCATACAGCTCTTTGCAGTGGCAGGTCATACAACTAGGGACAACAGCCATAAATTATGGTTTGGGAGGTGGAGGAAATTCTTCTGTGCATAATACAGCACAGCAGGTTACCCAGAAAGATTGTGGAATTTCTATCACCAAAGGTTTTCAAGTTTCAAAAACCCAAAACAAACACTCCTCCCAAAACCAACCTCTTATTCCCCCCAACTGAGAGGTCCCTTCCAACCAACATTTCTATGATTCTACCAATTACCCTTTACCAGCAGGATCCATTCAAAATTGATTGGGTGGTAGGAGAGAAAGGGAGGAAATACAGAACCCTAATACAATTAAAAGAGGATAATTAACGCTAATCCAGTGTGAATTTAGTGTGAGCTTTTGAAATTTGAGAAAACAAGTTTAATCAGTAAATACAACACTGCTAATTTTCCACAATAGATACAGGACATGATTCAGTTACATGAGGATTGATTGCTATCACCTTCTCATATGCCCTAGAAGGCTCAAGAAATCCATACAGGATTGGCAAATATTACTATAGGAGCCTATGGGAGATTTATTCCTTTTTAGAGAAGCTGAAACACCAGGCTGAAAATCATCGGAGATCTAAAAAGGCAATGTATGCTATGTTTAGCCAACAGAATCCTACTCCAATATTATTGTACCAATGACATTCTAGTAATCTGAACAATGAAAGATAACAACATATATTAAAGGCACCAGAAGCTCTATCTAAATTTTTGATCCAAAAGTGTATCTGTATTCGTATATATTTTATACACACACATCTAGAAGTGGTGACAGAGGTATAGATCTAATACATCCCTCCAGAAATTACTTTCTAATACCTAAATTATTCCACCTTTTCATTTATAACTGGAAAGCTTGAAGTTATTATCGATGTTTCTAAGTCATGGGAAAACAAGAATAATGCAAGTGTCATTTATTCTGAACCGGTCTGTGAATTTAGGCATAAAAACATATTTGATTGTTTTGAAATGCATACTGTTATATACATCAGGGAATGAAAAACAGAAGCCTTCTAGTAGACTTGGAATTACAGTTGATAGGAAAGTGAATGTATTTCTACAATGAAATGGCAGACACAATCTCTGAATGTACACAATGGGGTAATAACTCTGCTTTACAGTGGTTTATTACTGTAACACTGTGCCAGCTGAAGTACACACAATTTTAAAGAAGCAGGCAGAAAGCAACTTGAAAGACCACCACAAGAAAAACTGACATGAAAATTAGAAATACCTTTTTTTTTTTTTCTTTAAAGCAAAAAGCTTAATAATTCAACTAACTTAAAGAATACCTGGCAGGCAGGAAGATTTTAATCCACACATAAATAGTACAAACGGATAAGAAATTTAATACAGGGCCAAGTCTAATAGACAAAAGCTACAAATGGCAGCAGTTCCATGGTGAAAACAATTGACTGACAAAACTACACAATTGGTAGTCTGTTCCTTCATGGGACAAAGTTTCTAATCAAGAACTAACGTTTTTCTAGGAATACACTTTGGTTCAAACAGAACTAGCTTCAGGGAAGTTGTATGTAATACACAGGATATATGCAATGGTTTTTTCAAGCCATAGAAACAGAATGAAACAAGAAAATCCCTATGAATATAGCTATTTACTGAGAAGGAATTAATTCTCAAACAGTTGCTACGACTAAACAAGGATGGGCGTACTATATGGCCTATTCTCTATATTGCATAAACTTTTATAGCTGATATCTTTTTTTGAAGCAGTTTCAGTAATAAGCATAAAGTGTTAACTGTTAATGAGCCCTTAAGGCTTTCAACAATTATAGATATGTTTCAAAACAGGACTTTGGAACATTTCTGGTTACTTCTTAACTTGGGACCCTTTATTTATTGCCTCTTTCATTCTTTCAAATCCAATTAGTCCATCAACTTATTTCAGTCGATATGAATTCCTGGAACAGCCCTATTCTTCTCAAGACCTGAAGTAACTGGATTTGGACCCCTCCAAATACGTAATGTGAGGTTGCTGAATTTTGTGGATTATCTATTGTGAGATTCTCAACATATAGGCCACAACACCAAACAGAGTTGTGAGGTTCTCAAATACATGGTTTTGTCCAGTATTTATACAGTTTTTAGTGCAACAGCAAGCAGATTAAAATACTAGGAATTACTGCTGTACAAATTCAACTGCCTGACTACAAAAATGCAGTACTTAAGGTAAAGAACTCAAAGGGCAGAAGTTGTTTTCCAGAGCAGAAAGTTTTAATTTTAGATCTGACAAAAACTTAAAGCATTACTGTAAAAGTTTATCAAAGAACAGAAAGGAAAATTACTCATTTATTAGGTAACTGTTACAGGAATCTTTTGAGTTTATACAGCTGAATGTACCCCATTTACATGACTGTTTCTAGTTCACAGCTGCTGAAGGGTCATAAGCTACAGTCATCCTTTATGAAAAAAACCAGAAGAGAAAGTGTGGTTAAACACATTTCCAGTGAACTGATCCGAGAATACTTACAGCTATGCTATAAAACAGTTACAGATACCCAACCGCATTTAGCTGAAAGAATTTCGAGCCCAGTAAACCTCAGTACTATTGAAATTTGATCTGGGGATTAAAGTGAACCACAGACTGAATGACTCACTGATGTGATACTGCTGCAAAAAAAGTGTAGTGTCATTTCTGAGACTAACAGCAATGCTTAATTTTTCCTCATGCAAAATGAAGCTCGTAACTAGTTTGGACACTACACCTCCAAGACATGGATCCAAGATTTCTCTGGACTTTCTCCAAGAAAAATACAACTTTTAGGAAATACAGCCTAGGAAGGAGAGTTCAAAGACTTCAGCTGCTTGCAGTGAAGATGATTTAAATTAGGTGAAAATATTACATGAACACAGGCAACTATTTGCTTGGAAAGACTGTATTATATGAAGTCTTTACGAATATAACAGCTACTTTAGGAGATGGTCTAAACGTACCCGACCTGCCTCAGGGCTGGATCTTTAATAATTTTATAATTTACAGTCATCACAATTCTAGAAATCATCTGCAGACATTAAAAGCTCTTACAGAAAACTTTCAGCATT